ACACGTGATTATCGATTTCAACAAAGAAGAATTTCAAATTAACAGATAAGACTTTTACAGTATTATTGTTGTAGCCCTTACTAACCACAATTATAATTATCAACAGACAAAGATAAACTCAAAACAAGCTTGAACATTATATACCAGATATCATTAACAATTGATTACTGTAAAAGTTCATATACAAGACTTGAGTCTGTTTTCTTTCATCAATTTTTAAAACCTTTAATAGACCCAGAGTCTAGCATTTGCTCAGAGATTACATCATAAAAAGAAAACAATCAAAATGCATGCACACTTTGTATTATAATATGCACTCTAACTATTTGAAAAAAAAACTGCATTTAATTAATAAATGTTCTGTAGTTTGCACCTGAATCTAATTTACGGTGGGTATACTATTTGGAGATCTTGTATATATGAATAAAATGGAGTTTGCAAGTTACTTAAAATAGTAAAAAAGCAATTATTACACAAAGACAAGCACGACTAAGCTATAAAACTGGGTTGAAATAAATTTTTATATACGTAGAGCTTAACTAGTAATGGGCAACGCGCAGGATCTGCACGTGATCCCGTGCAGAATCTTGCGCATAATATGCAGGATTTAAAAAATCCTGTGCGGGATTTTTAATATAAGATTATCTGGCCTGCATTAATATAAGTGGGCCAATTTTTAATTAGTAATTGCACAATAACCCTTAAAATACCAGTTTAAAAAATTTCACAGGCCAATCAAATTTCAAGATCAGGTGTAATGTTGCATGATCAAACAAATGTTCATTTTGTCAAAAATCGCCCATAACTCAAAATTTAGTCTATGAAATTGCCTACTACGCACTGACAAAACATTTTCCTTGCGAAATTTTGGTATAACTATAACCCTCTAAGCTGATCTACGACCTACTAGCAAGATCCTAACTCTGAACTAATTGTGAACCTTTTTTTTTGTGAAAAATTTTTTATAAGATTACATGATGTGCGAAATTTTTTAGTTTCTTTTTAGAAAGATAATTTTTAATTATTTATAATAGTGTATATAAATAAATTTAAATTTTATTAGATATAAAATTTTTGTATAATATGAATAACATGCACTATGCATTATCTTTGTATGAAAAATTAAACTTTAGATTTTTAATATTGTACTGTATAATATATATATATACAGTACGTATATACTTAATTTAAGTATAAATATAATAAAATTTTAATTTTTTTGGCATTGGTATTCTTACCGTTATCTATAAAATTAAGGCAAATCTGAATTGATAAATTTAATAATTATAAGATTTAATTACTTAAGCTTAAATTGCATAAGAAATTTTTATATATGTTTTAAAGTAGGCAAAATCTATATAAACTTTTTTATTTATAATAAATGCAGTAAGATTTATAAGAAATAATTATTATTTTAACAAGAAATTATATTTACGATAATGATCTTTATATATATATTTATTATTCGTGAGAAATTTAAAAACTCTACTCAATTCTGCGGATCACGCGCAGATTCCACGTGTGATCCCGCATCCCACGCGAGATTTTTAAAAAAATCGGAATTTGCCCATCACTAAGCTTAACTAAATAGAATTGATCGTACGAAAGTCCACATATACAATAGAGGAAGTTAAAACAAGATAATTTCCTTATATGGTTATACCCAATCAAAGGGCAGTATTTGTACACACCATTTCACTCTTCAGATAAGCTACCCCAGTAAGACCATGAAAGATCGTCACAGATGCACCAATCAGATCTTTTCTAACAATTGCTTCACCTACTGTGCACTAACAAAAAAGAATTCATTGTAAATTTTAGTATAAGATAAGCCATAATTTCAGTCACAACCCAACCCTAACATAGGTTTTTATTACTTTAAACATTTGATTGTTTAATTAGTGCAGATTATCTGATTTGTGCATATTGTTGATCTTCTTCAGATAACCATACACTTCATTGCATTCTGTTTCTAGTAAAATAGCATAACAGTGGCGTTTCACACCACCTATCACACTGGTATTTTTATAAAGTTTAATTTTGCTTGGTGGCCAATTCTGATTGTATTAAAATATTAACTAACATATATATATTAAATGACCTTCTAAAGTTTGAAATGACAAATAACTAGTCATTTGTTATTTAGATCATTTGGGTTATTTCAGGTCATTTACCATCCTTGGGCCTGACTATAAGCCGTTTTAATAATTTTTCTTTTCTTTTTTTTTTATTAGATTTTTGAATAGACACACATTCAATAAAAAGTTTGATGTAAGTCACAGAGCTAATTATATGGATATAGCATAAATCTAGAAACGATCATTGAATTCTTTTGCCAGTTTTTATGGCTCTGAAAGCCACCAATTGAGGGTGCAGGCATATAATAATTCGACCTTCTGATCTCAGTTTATTTTGATGCTATTCTATAATGAACTTTTTAAATATGGTGATTGTAGTCTATACTTGATAATAAAAATAATAGTTTAAAATAAATCCTTTTTATAGATGCAATATTTTTAAAAGCTACTTGATAATTTGAATAACAGAGTTACCAACCAGATTTTTAAAATTTTGCTTTTATAAAAATTATAAAAGTTTATTTAAAATCGAAATATATAGTAGTATTAGAACTTGGCATTTAATGAAACAGATGCTGCTTTAGACATTTGACGGTTGTATTATTGGAACATGATATGAAAATAGAATAGATATTGTGTAATCATCTACTGTAGGTGTATAAAACAATAGTAATCTTTAAAATACATCAACCTTTTTACATAAAGGATCTTTAAAAAAAATAGTTGGTAAATTTATAGAACTAATAAAGTTATAAGTCAGTTCTTTGAAGAACATCCTGTGTAAAGAATTAGTATAGAAATATAGTAAATATAGTAAATTATTTCTATAAGAAATATTTAAAAATTTTATTATAAAAAGTTGTTAGTTTATTAAAAGAAAGTTAACTGTATATAAAATTTTTCTATTCATTGTTATTTATATTTCGACAAAAAATAATGGTGGTTTTGTATATAAACTACAAGAAAACACAATAACTGATAAACAAAATGATTACAACTTATTAATGATATAGTAAAGTCATCAGACTGAAAAAAATCTTTACTACAACTTATAGCAAGAGAATACTAGAATATTAGATATATACTTTATTTAATTCTAATTCTTCAATATATCAAAAGTTTACTATAACAAGAATGTGGTTCATTCGACAGACTGGTTTATTCTTGAATATGTTTAAAACTCAAAACCTTTTATAGCTTTGATCAAATTATAAAATTCAGATTCATTTATAAATCCATTTACAGCAAAATCTTTCTATAGTGAACTTTTTTGAACATAATGAACAGTGAAAATCTAAACTTATATCGAGTTTGAAACAAGGCATGTGATATATTCAAAGAGATGATTATAAATACAATAATATAATACTATATATTTAATTGCTTAATTGAAGTTTAAATGGTATTTATGAGGTTTGAGTCAATATCCTAAAGATCAAAATTCCAAAATTACTAAATCCTGAAAGTATAATATTCTAAAAACCAAATCTTGAAAAAAATATTCCAAAAAATCATAATCCTGAAAAATAGGGATGTTATCCTGTTTCAGCCAGTTAATTTATGCTTAAAAACTCATTAGAACACTGTTTTGAACCATATACATGAACCGGTTATCGAACTCAGTTTATACAAATATACTATTAATTATTTGATCAAACAAGTTAATAAAACCTGCTTTGTAATCACCATTTAATAGAGAAAATTCATAGGCTAATTTTCATCATATCAACATAATAGCTAACTGATTTCAGAAAATTGATTTCAAACTTGATTTCAAACTCGATTTGCTATATGGAGTTTTAAATAACATAATAAAATCACATTATAGCTGAAACTTAAGTTTATCCAGTTTGGGTCTCAAACAGAGGTCGAACAGAGTTTGGACAAGCAGGATAACATCTCTACCAAAAGAGCATGATCATAATCCTGAAAAATCATAATGAGAGATACAGTTATTTTTAGTTAACCATTTTATGACCATTAGCTGTATCTTGTAATTCAGTGATCCAAATTAGATGATTTCAGTATCATTCAATTCATCTCAATGTAACGAATTAAATAGTGATCCAGTGACTCAAAACAGTTAACTGACCATACCCACAGCCTAAGTGTAGTAATATACAGTATTTAAATAAGGTAGAATTAGGATTAACGGTTGTAATTTTGATTTACTGCAAAAAAATTTTGTTACAAAATTGCCAGCTATTGTGGTAATACACAATATTAAGTTTGCTAATAGTTTTTTAAAAAGAACTTTGTAACTTAGCGCACTAGCGATATAACGCCAGTCCTCATCACATGATATGCGATTAAGATTTAAAAAAAAAGAAATTTGCAAATTATAATTTTTCGCTCTGGCGATGTATCGCCACATGCTAATTAACTAATTAAACGATTAAATTATATTAATTCATATATACATATGTTCAATACTACCTATGTATGTAAGCAGAATTTTATTAGCCAATTAAAACTGGTGATGTATTGCCATTGCTATAAATTACAAATCCCTAAAAGGAGAGAACAATTGCAAATCTCAAACTAATTTGTTACTCAAAGGGGAGAATAATCACAAATCTCAAACTAATTTGTTATATACAATTACTTAAATAGCAACAAAATGTTTTTTTGCAAATATGATATTACAACGAAGCTCTATTGCTATTGCTCATTTTGAAACCTCTCAAATAAAGTAGTTTACTAAAAATAACCTGAATATTTCGCTTCAACTCTTTATAGTTTAATTAACATTGTATAGCCTTGATTTGATTTTATTATGCTTATTAAGAGAAAATTAAACATCGAATAAGCTTAGTAAATAGATCGTACCCAGCTTTAACCTTAAATATTGAATTAGATTAGATGAACAATAAATATATAATGAACATTACCCCACAATTTTTTTGGTAGTGGCCTGTATTTTCACACTTCTTGCATCGGCGTTGATGCACTATCTTAGGTTTAGAAACTTCATATGATGCTTTAATCCTTTTAGTACCTCGTAGTCGTCTCTTTCCATGGTGCTTCTTAGGATTTTTTAGTTGAGGCATTATGGAATTATTACCATTATTATTTGTATCATCAGCTTGTGAACTTTTAGCAGAATCTGATTGCTCACTAGAATCTTTGTCGACAAATTCTTGAAGTAAATTGAGGAGTTTTTGTAATAGTAAATTATTTTGTAAAGCCTTATTAAGTGCTTTTTTATATACACCATGCAGTTTTCCATAAGTAGCTTTCTGTTGAAGTGCAGTTAAGCTTTCTTCATGAAAGTCCTTATGATCTTTATCAAAATGACACAAATACGTAACCAGATAATTAGAACTATATGTTATATTTTGAACATTTTGCATATACTTATCTGCTAGTAAAAATGGTTCTTCTGACCCAGTTTTACTTTTACTATACTACTGTGTTGAAATTAGCCTAATATAGAAGTAAGCTTTTCTCATGACTAACATCACCTGAAAAAAGTATTTGCAAATAATTCCACTTTGGATAATAGAAAGACAGGAACAAATGTGTCCTCGATTCTGCAACAACAAAATGTAATGTTTAACTTGCAGTGAATTTCCTATGTTTACTTCTCAAATTTCTTTAATGTTTGAAGAATCAACATATTTGATCATCCAATCCAATGTTGTTTGTGGAGTATCGACGGGTATGTCATTTTCAGGTATTGTTAAATCTCCCTATTATTACAGATTACGTTTTGTTAGTTGCATGAATTAAATTCAAACCTACTAACTTATATCTTAATTTGAATTTACTTAGATACTAATTTAAATACGCCCTAATTCTATCACAGATTCTAATTCTAATTTGCATCTTACACCTAACCTATATATTAATAACTTTCAGTAGAATTAACTAGCAAAATTATTTATAAAAAAAAGGGTTAATAAATCGTTATTTGTTGTTATCTAAATGGAAGTTTTCAAAAAATAATCTTAACACAAGCACTAACATCATATCATAATTTCGATCTACCTAACTCAATCTACTAACATGAACCAAAATTCAAATACTGACGCCAACCCAAGTTTGAATACTAATGCTTAGTTCAATATATATGAGCCCCACCATTAATAATTGATAAAATAAAAATTTTTTATGCTTTATAAAGTTAGAGGATTAATATACTTGCCTGTTTCTATATAAGTCTTTAACGTATGCTTTAAAACTTACCTCGTCGATATTTTTTACATCCTAAGTAAAAAGGTTTGCTACATAATATAATGATTGATCTATTTCATTACAATGCATTTTTACTAGAGAAGGCGTGAGATACTGCTGAAGGTATTGATCAATTTTTGTGAATAAAAAATTCACATTGTGTTGATTTCTTATATTTGGAATCGATAGCTTCCAAAACTTATATTCATTTGCCTTGTCTTGTTGATCAAGAAGTTTGTGGATTTCGTCTGTAAGATCACACAATGAAATATTTAAGCTGTGCAATAAACGTTTAAGGCATGCATTCATGGACTTAATACGAGAGGTTGCAATAATGCCACCTGTAAATTTAGACCCAGTAAAACAATGTGCCCAATATTCCTTTGATTTGTAAAGAAATTTTAGGTAGTTTTGAGCATTAGGATAATATTGCATAAGTCCATCAAATCTTTGCTGAAAGTCTTCTTCGACAAAACTATTACGGCAAAGATAGAATTGGTTGAGAAACTTCTGATATTCTTCACCTAGAGCTTTTCTAAGATTCTTATGCATATTCTGAGTTATATAATATATGCAATGAATAGGATAGGTTGAAGTAAAGATTTTACGAATTGCAGAATTGATGGCAAGATCTGCATCAGTTAGTATAACACCAGGTGAATATCAGTCGCCTCTAATACCCTACTGAACAACCAAATCTGTGACTCAAGGCTTTCATCAATTAAAAGACCTTGTGCAAGCAAGATATTATAACGATTATTGTTAAACCTAACAAACAATGATAAAGCTATACCATATCTGTTAGTTTTTTGGGTGATATCATTAAAAATGCAGTCAGAATACTGAATCCAGTTCTTTATCTGCTCTGGTATCATCCAGAACAAATGAGTTAGAATATTGTCATTGTTCCACCTCTGTGCTACAAACCACTGAGAATCAAGCTCTTTTTGATGATCAAGCCAGTTGGAAATTTGGGCTGCATCATTTGATAATGATTTACATATTGAATGTAACTTATTTATTGCTGCATAAAGATCTTTTGCATAAATTGGGTGCAACGGATATTTGCTCTTGAAAAATTTCCTTTGAGCAGTTGCTCCAAATTTACATGATATGGTCATAAATTTGATGTCTTCCATAATTTTATTTGTGAATTTTTTTAAATCTTCGAATTCAATTATTGTATTATCTAATAGATGGTCATGCTTATTTACAATTTTATTTATATATATTAAAGCCTGAGGATTATTCTTTTTTGGACATAAAGCATTAACCAAAAAATGACATTTGATCTTTTTTGTATTAGTATCTTTGCTTGAATTTGACTCATAACTTTGACTATATTCACAGATAAATGTACGTCTCCGGATGATATCTCCTTCACGGTGCACCCTGTCTTTGATTATACAGAAACCTTGTTTTTTAGCCCAGTTTTTGAGAAAAAATTCACAAGAATCCCAAGTTGAAAAGGTAGCTCCTACTTCTAAAGTAATATATTTACTTTCAACAGAAGGTGCTAATATATTATATGTTTGTTATTAGATTATTAAGGTAATAATTAAAGTCTACTTCAATTTAGAGCACTAACCTGTATCATTTGAACAGATTTGTTTCATGCCTTCTAATTCTATATCAAACTCTGGAGTAAGTTCATTCATGTTATCTTTTTCTATGTTTGGTATTTTTTGATCTGTAATGAAAGATTGAAAGGTTATAGTAAAAAAATTTTAACAACCAAAAAAGAACAGTTAATGAGTTTGTGGGTTGATTATTAATTATTAATATGAAGCAAATTTCCGTCAGCATTACAGCATTATGATCAAATATTAGTATATTTTATTAAGCGATTGAAGATGCAATAATGCTAGTAATATGATGCGTTTTGTGTGATGATCAAAATTATCAAAATTTAATTTAAATTTTTAATATTAGATTTTTTTTTTATTATTTTAGTTTTTTTTAGGGTATAGCGTTTTATAGCTATAGTGATAAATTATAATATTCTTTTACAAAAATTTTTATTAAATATATATATAAATCTTTTACACAATTATTTTTTAATAAAAAAATTATATATTCATTAATATACAGTCACCTACCAAAATAATATAGACACTTTTTAAAAATTTATACAGAGCTAAATAAGTAAACTATTAAGCTAAAAATTAAATCATCAATTCTTTAAAACTATATCTTTTAGAATCATCCAGGATGGCACCCAAAATTGCAATGACATAAGATTAGTTAGTGCTACTTATTGGCTCTCTTCTAACTGTATATTGTTAATCATTTTTTAGTGATTGTAATCTACTGCATATATATATGTATAATGGCTGCACAATAATCTATGTCATTGCAATTTTGGGCCATTCTGAATAATTTATATCTTTTAAATAAAGAAAAGTTTAAAAAAATTTTATACTACAGTTTTTAAAATAATTAAGTAAAATTTTAAATTTTTATATTTAACTGGTTTTCTAAATTTTAATATAGTTTAATAGTAATTAAAAGAAGTTTGCTAGGATATTCTAAAGAATAGGTGGCCAAACTTCGCAAACTTCACAACTCTGCTATTAAAAAATTAATGATTACTAATCATTAGTGAAGCTTATTTCTTATATTGCCCACCTATTTTATAAAATATCTGTTTGCTATTTAGTGTATAATTAGCCAATTAATTTACAGAATTGAGTGTAATATGCAGATCAATTTCATGTAACAAAACAAAAATATTTTTTAAAAAATCAATTATATCTTAAAATTTTGCTTATAAACCCATATTTTGAGCTTCAACAAAAAAATTTCTTTGCAAAATTTTATTATAGTTTTTATTTAGCTTTATTAGCAAACTCTTTCCCTTATTCCAATATTAAAATAGATAAACTTTAGTTTAAAAAATTTATGTGTTATATCTAATCATAATTGTAAATCATTAGTGATAATCACTAGTAATAATTTGTAGTAATTTTCTAATTAAAATTACTAAATATAGTAATTAGTATTGGGTAAATTAATAGTCAAACAAAAATTTACTAATTAAATTAGTCTAGCCAAATTGGTCAAATAGTTAAACTAATCAAATTAGTCAAATCTATTATAAATATAATATATATATTATATACTAAATTATATTTATATAAATCTTTTCTTGTTTGTATCTTTTATTGTATTCCCTATACCTCTGTGTTTTTTTATATAGTTTTTCTTTTTCTTTTCACTTCTCTATGAGAAGATGTCATCAGATTGGCAGTATCCTATTGTAAGGCATTAGGTTAGACAAGCTCTCTAGTTAGGATATTACCTTTTAGTTTATCTTACCGATGCTTAGGTCACAGGTGGGCACTCATTGAAGCAGCCATAGGATGTTAGAATCATAGTTTTAATGTTACAGTAATATACTTGTAATCTTCACAAAATTGAAGCTTTATTAAATATCGATCACTAACGTGATATTATCTAAGTAGAAAAAAAATAAAATAAAATAAATTATATTTAACAATGTTATTTAACCAATTTAACCAATACAAATTCTTTGACCAGACTGATCAAATAGTCAAATTGGTCTGGTTAATTGGTCAGACTGATCTGGTTAGCCCAATATTAATAGTAATATATAAACTTAATTTTTATTAATAAACTAGCAATTTTTTTAAATAAAGTTATTTGGTATAACAAATTGTATATATTTTGAAAAATTTTATAATTTTTAAAAAATATTTAGTAAATTTCTATATATAGAAATAAAATTGTTACATTTAATAATTTAATAATTTTAAATTAAATAATTTAATTATAATATTTAAAATAAGAAAATAACTATTTATATACTGGGTGTTTGAACACTTATTACACAAAACAATTAATTTTATTAAAAATACAAGTAAATAAAAATAATTTTAATTAACACTAAGTTAGAGTTAATAGTTTATAGTAAAATTTTGCAAGAAATTTTTTTTCTTATAGCCCAAAAAATGGTTTTATAATTAAAATTTTAAGATATTACTAATTTTTCATTTTTTTCTTTATTTTTGTTGTACAAAAAATAATCTGCAAACTGCATTTAACTATTTGTTTTGTGTAACAAGTATTCAAACATCTAGTGTACAAATAGAAATTCTCTTAAAATAATAACTAACTTTATAATATTTTTAAAATTTTATAAATTTTTTTTTTTTTT